ATCATTACCTAAACTTCCATCAATCTTGATTGTATTGTTTGGTCCTGAATTGAAAAGTGGCTGACTCCTATACTAGTAACAAACTTGTTTAGTTTTGCATTCTTTCATGATAGTGTGGGATCTGGGATGACTCTGATTTGCTGCCGAGGACAATACACCAGTAACTACTTTGTTTTCACTTCACACGTTACGGGCATTCATTCCACGATTAGAATTTGGCTTTGAATTTGAAAGTAAAAAAGCCTGGCCCACCCTCGCCACTGTCTTCATTATTGCCGTCACAGCTTTTATTTCCTAAATTTGAAACTAACGTGTACATCGACTTCGACATTCTGCTCTCTTCCTCTGTTCTTCTCATGCCATCTCTATTCTTTGGGGCCAAAATCGCAATTACAATCCAACTGCTGTGACGACAGTGTCATATGATTCTGTTTGTGTCAATGTTGCACTTATGAAATGAAACTTTGGCCTTATTTTGAACCGTCCAGGAGATGATTCTGGTACATTTTTACCGGCATTCTTTCAATTTCATAACTAAAAGCAAACCCCACTAACATATCCGATTTGGAGTAGCCGTTCATGAGTTCATCGAAATCTATAAGTCTCCATTCGTTTTCAGTAGTTCGATGGGTTCCCAATCGATTAGTCAGCGCCATAGGCCATTCCTCCCGTTTTTTTTCAGTGGAGCTATTTGTTTACTTTCGTCTCACTGTTGACCTCTTCATATGGAAGACGGGTCTCTCCCACGGAAAAGGCAGTGTTTACCCCTCATTGGCAGTGCTGAAGTCGGGAAATCTGAAAAAGGGAACTTCTAAAGCGGTACTCAGAAGAGTAATGTGAAGCTACTTCTCAGCTTTTTCATGGGTCTATTTTATATTGGATTGAAAGAACATAATGTTCGAACGTGACTTCCATTGCGTTGCCAGCTGTTTTGCGTTCGTGCGGCAAAATCGCGCGGTTAGGGCAGTTATTGATCTGTTCCCGGGCCATTCCGACTCAACTAATTGCGTGTTAGTCTCGGTGAACTTGACTCAACACAATTAGGTCACTCGTCATTCGCACTTTCTCATACCTCCCATTTATGTCCAGCTCATTTAGCTTTCATCGGAACAGGTTAACTTCTTGTTCTAGAACTCCCCCACTATCTGGACTGCATCGCTTATCATTGATCAATAGAACGCAATACTTCTTTGAACCGCTCCAATCATGGTGCTAACACAGCAAGGAGAATCGTGTGAGTCACTCAGCCCGCAACTTCGTCCATCGATCGCTAAAATCTCAATCGATTTTCCGTATGTTCTGCGTAACTAATAGTGAAAACCTGCCCGTTCCATGTGGCCATACCCTTTGCCGTGAGGCTGAACGGAACAACTATGCTATTCTGTCCGTGGTGAAAAGCCGGCAAATGAAGTGTTTGCTACGCAATGCACTCGACTGTTTTATAATTTACGCCAGTCATGCATCCCGACCCAGCGGGTGGCCCTTTCATCATTGTTGAATCTTTGGAGTCGTATACTTTTTAATTTGCCATTTAGCAATGTTCATCATCTTACAGTAGTGGTCACTGTGATTACCATCTAGTAGAAATTAACGGGTTAAACTAGAACCGGCTAGCGCTTTCACTCCTCTCAAGTGCAAAACAATCGATCGATTTTTACACTAAAGCTATGCGCACCCTGATCAGCTGACCGTCGGTGAACACGTTTGATATCATTTTTACCGGTATTTCATTTCGTTTTTACTCCACCTTAGCGTCGTCACCATGCTGCTCCCCAACTTCACTGTTTTCATTATTTGTTTTCAACCATAACCTTATCCGTCTTTATGTTCGCCAGTTTGTAGTAGCTGTTAACTTGAGTGTGTTGAATCTTCCCTCCTCCAAGCAACCACATAGTAGTTTTTTAGGTTACGTGACCGAATATTTTGGGTACTACTTGTTTTGTCTGTAGAACATAAATCCCAGATAGTTGTCGACGGGCTTAAGACATTCTTCTTCTACGCTTTCGGCGAATTGCAGAGGCCGTGCCAAATCGCTTTAAGTAAAGTAGAATGAGATTTCATTAATATGTTTCGCAACATTGTTGTCGGTTACTTATTACTTCCTCTTTCGGCCAAAATAGCGTGTTATACGTAAATATTGATTAGTTCTTCGGTTCTTATATTTTTTTTGTTCGGTGCTAGCCTTAGTGCCTGCTGTCCGCAGTACAATATCAGGATGTGTTTCGATGATTCACGCCTATTTCCACAGCATGGGGGGAGTTCTTCATTGCGACCCATTCTCATCGACTCATCTGCAGTGTGCCTACAAGTTAACAAGTTCCATTATTACTAGTTTCGCTCATTGAGCACCTTCTCGATTCCATATTCATTGAATGTGCTCCCAAACACCTTCGTTGCCAATTTTGAGCAGCTCTAAGCAGTGCTCAGTCGTCGATGTGTTTTGTCGTTTTTAAGCTCAATTCGCCTGCAATAGCAAAGTAGCTTCGTCTTTTGTTTCATTTATTTTCATTTTTTTTCCGTGCTCCTTGTGACTAAAATTGATACGTGATTTTGGTGATTTCGTGTATTTCAGACCCCGTTGTATGGGGAATTAATATTCGTTGCCACCTCCAAAGAGTGTGTCGCAACGACGAACCCGAATCGCGAAAATGCAACGATTTCCTAACTCTAATTTGCCGTCACCATTTGACGTTCAACGTTTCATTTTAGTCCTGCTATCTATTCATGATATTTTCGTGAAGGGACAATATATCGTCGAAGTGGTGAGTTGTAAGTTTGAAGTGGCACTCCTAATAGCTCGCCTTCTTAATTTACTCCGAACACTCGAGCGAAAAGAAAATTCCACCGATTACCACATGTTTGGTGGAGACTTGTATAGGCCTACAATATTTGTTTAGAGTTTCCCGGGCAACTGTAGAATATTATCCGGTCGCTTATTTAAATTCGTTAAATCTCCCCTGTATGCGCATTGCCTCCATTTTCAAAAGGAAAAATGGAAAATGTTGGTGATATGTCCCGTAATACAGATGTAGGGAGACAACGTTAAGTGCCCTTATTCCAACTTTGTAGAAGTAACGGCTTTTCGGTAACGCGATGGACCTTGTTGCTTCGTGCTAGGTAAAGTTTTCTTGGAGAACATTTCAATATACCTTGTATTGGGAATAGTGCTTGAGATTTAGATTTTTCATAAGTTTAGTGCACTAGCAATCTGTTATCTATTCAGCTCGAGCCGGCTCGTTTGGGCATTCGACGGTCGGTGCAGCGATGTGAGGCGACCGGTGCAAATTTCGGCGCCGATGTCGTCACGTTCTCGTTCAGTCACGAGGCCATCGGTTGTGCGACGCATCCTGAACCCCTTGAAGCTTGCACAGAACATATTGTGGTACGTGCAGATTCCTATACGAATTTTGCAGGTTTTGTAGTCCATCTCGCCCCATCTGCATCACGTGGTCCCTAGATCACACATTTTCTTCATAATGTTTTGTGAAGATTGCCGCGAGCTCGCAAGCTTTTCAGTGCCAAGCCAGCATTGATGTAAAATTGAAAAAGCGTTTGCATGTGATTTGATGCATGCTATTCTGTCACAGAATGATGAATTCTTATCAGTTTTCTGACTTGCTGCAGGGTGCAACGTTGAGATTATGTTTAACCGATAATATATAAACTGGTGTAGTGATTGGTGAAATACAGGGTGGGCAGTCAGAGGGCACGGTTAAAGAAGTTGATAGAGTGGAGGGGATGTGCAGAGTGGGAAGTAATCGGCGAGATTTTCAATGCTCCCTACGATCGCCCGATCTCAGCCCTTGCTGCACTCTCTATGGAATCTTCTCAAGTCGGTTTCTTTTGACCCGTACAACAGTGGTACAAGGTTGGAAAGTTTGGATTGATCAAAAAGTTCGGGCGATAACGCCGGCAATGCCAAGACGTGTCGGCGAAAATTTCAGCATGAGACAGAAATAATATTCATAATGTTGGTCACCACCTTACTGAAGTCATATTTAAAAAATAAACATTTGAGTTGTTGAGTTGTGTGGATTTGAATATTTAATGTTCGAATTAGAATCTTCATGTATGTTCTCAAGATTTGCTGCGATATATGATTGGAAACTATTTCTGTGTGTTTTTCAATACTTAGAATCGTTGCTTTGACTGCCCCACGCTGTATACCGCGAGCGGGAAGCTGGCCTTAGATGCAGTGCCGGTCTCACTAAAGTAATTTGACTCTTTTACTCAATTGCCTATAAAAACAAACCCAAAATATTTCACATTCTCGAGCGCTGCTCGTTTTTAATAATGATAACAATTTTCAACCAACCTTGTTTATGAAATGAAGGCTCTTTGCTTGTAGTACCAACGATTATTCTTTGCTGGCGAAGTATAAACTGAAAAAGGGGTAACGCCGGGGCTCTTTATTTGTCATTTCTGTAATTGCTCGTTGGTAGGCACAATTTGAGAATTTGTCCTCCGTGCTACTGCACGATATGACTGATATAACATCGTTCTGCCGTGAGTTTACAGTGTGGGGAGTGTTACTCGAGGAATTGAAATTGTTGCTCCTGAAGCCATTTTTATAACTAGGATACATAGGCCATTTGTCGAGCTCAGATTGAGCGCTGGTGGGTATGTTCCAGCTTCAAGAATGTGTACTTTGTGAGCCGTTCTCCTTTGTTTTGTTAGAACTACTGTTGATCACTATCCGTAATTGCTGTGTTCGGCCATGTGGCTGGGTCTTCTTTCTAGATGAATTTAGTGGTATTGTTGTATGATGTTGGAAATGTGGCTGCAGTTGTGACCATGAATTAATTTCTTTCTTCTCTTCTGTGTCAAAAAGTATTATTGTCATTATTCGATACGGTTTCAGTATCCTATTAATGCCACTCTCTGTGCATCGAATTTCGCGTTGGTTCCAAGAGGAAACTGCAGTTTTTCAGAGAAGGTAGTTTTTTTTTTATCATACATGCCATTTCTATTCGTTTTTTTCCTGGATACGTTCGAATTGAATGCAGGCTTACCACGTTCAACGTGCCGAACCAACAGGATTTCAAGCCTTGGTTATTTACAATTCAGAAGGAAAACCTCCAATTGATATGGCTGGTAGTAAATACGCTGATTCGGTAAGTTTGTTTTTTTGTCACTTTTTTTGAATAGGAGACAACGATCTGGAGCTTCCCAACAAATCAGTACTGGTTAAAAATTAATGCTTTAGCATTTATTTTGTCAAGGCCGTCGATAAGTTTTCTGATCTTACAGGTGCGCATTCCGGTGCTCATGATCTCTTATCAATGTATGCTAGCGATTAACAATACATATCCAGCTAGTCAGGGGTTAGTTATTTGAAGAAGCGTTATTGCTGCCTCATTAAACGTAATTGATTTCCAAAACGTAATTGATTTCCATGTATTTTGTATTCAGGTATATCGTACAGATTAAAGTGTCGCCGGGTTACTATGACCTGTTTCGCTACCTTATTCCATTCGTAGTAGTCGTAGGATTCTGCTTTATTGTTCTTCTGATCAGTTTGGTAAGTTTTCCATATTGGATGTATTTAGTGACTAACACATTAGCCAGTCTAACCAAATGACTCATTTAAAGATATTGAAGGCGATTCGATTGTGCCGTGAGCGCAGGCGCGTCGCTCGAAAACGTCTATCGAAACGGAATCTCCGCAAGATTCCGACAAAAAAGTTTCGCAAAGGTTAGCACCTTCTTGTGTCACCGTTTTGCATATATAAAGCGATATATTTTAGGAGACGAACCTGAAACGTGCGCCATATGTCTGGATGACTTTATCGAGGGGGAAAAGCTGCGTGTTTTGCCATGTCGCCACAGTAAGTTCCTTTTAAATACTGATTTTCTCGACGTCGCTTGGAATGCAAAAACGGCTATCAGCATTAGCAAGTGTTGCTAATTATATGTACCCCTCTGAATGCATGCCATTACTTTGGGTCTATGTCCGGTTTGTTTTTGGTAACGCCTTTCACAACATTTATCTTCAGAGGTTCAAATTAACTCTTTTACGTTATGTTTCTCAAGTGATCCTATCAGTTGAACGGTAGCGTAGGATTGTGCAATTGTAGAACTATGCCAATCTCTCCAATATCGTGAGAATTCATAATTTCCAAAGCCAACAAGAACTTTAAAGAAATCTTCCGAAATCTTGTATCGATACCTTTTTTGTTGCAGTGGCGTATTTTTGTTGCTATTATAGTATCACCTTTTACATCATATATTGATCATTTCATTTACCTCACGGCTTTTTCAAAAAAAAAAACAGAGGTTAGGTTTGAACCTACTGCATAGGATTTGAGCTAACTTATATCATGCATTCTTCTCCAATGTCTGTATTTCTCTACAGCACTATATGTTTGCTAATTACTGAATATCTCAGCGTATCATTGCAATTGCATCGATCCATGGCTGACTCAAAACCGTAAAGTTTGTCCCATGTGTAAACGACGTGTCGGCGCAAAGAATTCGGATTCTGAATCTAGTGACGAGGAAAGGCGACAGGAGGTAGCGTCCCTTGTTTCTTAACAGTATCTTACACTTCGTTGTTTTCCGCATATTGCCCCACTCATTTTATTCATATATTGAAAAATTCACCCTGTGAAATTTTGTGAATTTCAGCAGCCTACATCTTCTCGAAGCACATCCGTTACTCATACCTATCTTGAAGATGAAGAACGGACTGACACTCCCATAGGTGAGTTTTCATCGGTTTCCTGTATGTAGAGTTCAAGCGGGTATACGTTAGGGGTGAACATGTAGTGAGGAGGGGGTCTACTGTGCTCTGCATCTCCAATTGTAGGTGTTAGAGCGCAGAGAAAGTTGGTTTTGCAGACATGTAATGGTGCACCGAAATTTCTTAATTAGGATGAGTAGCTTTTTGTTTTCTTGATGCTAAGAAGTGGGACGCAGAGGAGGGATGACCTCGGACAGAAGGCTGGGTTGGGAGACCTCGGACAGAAGGCTGGGATGGGAGAGGGATTGCCCGTTACAATCCAAAACTTCAGGAAGGCATCCTAGGATACTAATTTGTTGCGAGTGCCCACAGAAAGACCCGAAAATCGTGTAAACACGCGTAAGCATAGGTGGGCACATTGCATGTACCTCTTTAACTATTACATTTCCCTTCATTAGTTATTTTTTGGTCAGGTAGCAATGCCTTGACCACATGCAAGGGCTGAAGTGATTGGATGGGTATCAAGTGTCAAATGGTGATTATAAACGGTGATTATCATCGCTAAATCCATAGACCACCATTTACACTAATCGCTCATAGTCATTCGAATGAACTTAAAAAACTTACAACCGCTTTCTCTTCTTATGAAATTTTTACGCCACAATTTTTTATTTTCTCTGAACTCATTTATTTCTGCGGATGTTTTCTACCTTATTTGCTCCTACAAAAAAACTTGATAATTTTGACGGCCTGAAAAAAATTTATCAGAGTTAAAAATCTCAATTAAAAAATTATTTTACCATTCTTTAACTGCATTTACAAAAAAACGAGCGGATTCGATAAAATCAAAAATGGTTGTTGGTTGGTTTTCAGCGTCTACCAGTCAAGTACTGGCTGATGTGCATCATAGTGACATCGGCGGATCTCGCGAACAATTGGTGGAAACTGATGAGATGGCACTGCAAGCTGAGAGAGGAACGACGGATGACGAAGCCGAGACGAACACGCTATCACAGTCACTGAAGAATAAACTGAAGGGATTTTTCACGAAGTCAGCGTCTCGACCTCCGATGGACGTGAGTCTGATCATTACTCATTAGTGTTGAGTGATCTTAATTGTCTTCACCCGAATACTCGGATAAATTTACAAATTAAATATCGCACCCCTCATCTTTAAGGGTTCTGGAGAAGTGAACGATGCGTATGAAGGTGGAAGCACACCTCCTGCAGACACAGTATCTGTGGAAACATCGATTTTCGAAGACGTTCCTCTCGAAGAAGGGTTAGTTCTTTGCGTTTAGGCTTGGATATATTTCCTCAGCAAGTGCAGAGCATATATTAGGGAGTGAGGCAAGCCCTCATGACAGCGAACCCGCTACTGCTTTGAGATAAAGCCAAACCTTCCTTTTATATTGATTTGATGAAAGCTTCAGTTTGTTGCAAAGTCGAACTACATGGTTGCACCTATGCTATCTGGTGCTGTCATAGGAGACCATGTTAGGAAAGTTTGTGACAACATAGAACAAACTCAATGGTTTTTTTTGGCATAGGAGTGAGAGTTCTTCCACAGATGGCTGGAAATAATGCCTTTAAAAGAAATCTCTCTTAGCGGAATTAATTCATTCTAGAAATTCTGTTTTGAGCAGTGTCTGCAAATAATAACTGACTGTTTATCAAACCACATTACGACCCTCAAACTCCCTGACACCTATTTGGCGAAACGTTGACAACGATTGTCCGACTCCAAGGTCCAAACCATTTTGATCCTTTCAAAACTTTCTAAGTGGATTTCAAACGAAGCTTCGGAACTATTTTTATCGCCGACCCTGCATTTAGGAAATATACATATCAGTGAAAACTGCTCCAAAGCTCCTCGCCGCTGGCATAGTTGTTTCTTCAGTTGCTGCCTCTACAGAAATTGTGTTTCAGGCGTGTGGTTAATGGAGAGCGACGTCGCCATCCAGCTGGATCACAAGCAGTTGTTACGGATCAGGTGCTCCAAGACGATTCGATGAGCGACGAGGAAATCGAGGGTCGTGACGGACGCACCAAGCGTCTACGTACGAGACGTGAACGTGATGCTGACAAGTGGGTTTCGATTTGGATATGAAATCTTTTCCGATTTACGTCGCCTTCAGAAAACAACTCAATCTGTAAGAAAATCAAATTCTGGTAAGACGTAAGGGTTCCTAATCCCGTGTCTTACTCTACACACCTTCCTCCTAAACCATGTTCCAATTCGTTCAAATATAGTGTACGAATCAAAAGCACTTTGTTTTCTGGTTATTTTGAATCTGGGGACCTTCGAAAGATTAGTCTAAATCTAAACTATATCCGAATTCTAGCCATTAGCATTTTAAAGGGCATTTTCACAGTCTTCAGCAGTGAATGTTGATTTGAGTTAAGCATGCATACCACCGACATCTAAGTGCCCTGCTTTCTGCTCTGCCACAGAGGGCCCCACAATCATTCCAAGTCCATTATGTTATGAGATCTTTGTATTTACTCTGTTCAGTGATCCTTTGTCGCCTAATTTACCATTGTTTCAATAATAGTGGCATTATGTTTGGGGATTTCGGAGCCATCAGGAAAGTCATGAAATCGATTCAGATCGCATTCACGTAACTCGCCGGGTGGCGAAGGAGGAGGACATACAAGCTCATTTGGCAATCTTCCCGTATAGAAGTGAAAACGGGCGTAAGGCACTTTCCTAATACGGTGTATCAGATGCATAGGAATTAATACGTTGTATGGTGTCTTATAGATATCTTTTTTGTTTGTTTGGGTATATTTTGCATGTAAAGTCATTCATATAAATGTACTATATATACTCTGCCGCCTCATGATATTACTTCACTTCTTTTGCTCCTTCCCCCTCTTGGTGGCCTATGTCTACCTCAATGAAACCTACTGCTGTTTGTGAATATTTTCCGATGTTTGTGCGCTCGTTTGTCTAGTGAAAACAATCTTCTGTGCCTGGGTATGTGAGTGTTCCGCCTTTGAGATTTATCGTACGAATTGCGGTGATATTCACTCTGAGGGCAGGTGGCCTTTATCTTTACATCGTGTTTATGTTCTTGACGGTTATCTTTTAGATAATCAGCTTTGAATGACGTGTTCCAGTGAATTTGGAGGATTCATGTGAATTGTATGTGGGCTAGTCACATTAATCCAATCGTATTATTATTACGACGAAGTAGTTTTTCTGCTAAATGTATTTGTTGTTTTGTAATCGATATAATATATAATAGCATGCCTGGTCTCAAAGACGACAAACATGTCGCAACCCGCCCCAGCACGGTGATGTCACGCCCCCTGGGAGCAATAGACAGGTGATATGATCGCGAGATGATGTATGTGAGGTAGATGACCAACGCCCGTGAAGTCTTTCCGGCTTTAGTCGTGTATACTGTTCTGTGTTCCTTGGGTACGTTCCTCCCTATATCCATGTTCATTGTCATTATTATTGTTTCTCTGAAATAATTTTTTGTCGTGTCATACATAAAATGTTTTGTTTTTCATGTGTTTTTTCGAAGTCCTTGATACTCCACATTATTGGTTAGCTTTCGGCTTATAATGCCCTTTTCAGAACTTAACAATACGTAGTTGCAAACAATCAGTCAACAATCAGTTACTACATAGAACACATCGTGGACCGACCGTACTTGACCAACAAGCGACTTTAATGTCTTGGCAAACCTTGAGCACCGAATTCAACGAATGTACCGGAACGCGATGAATGAGTCTTATCGCAGTAACCTGACCCCAGCTGAACGCAGAGGGGTGAAGAAGCTGCTGCAAGCGAAGAATGTATTGAGGTGTACTGTTGGAGACAAGTGTGGCTCCTTCGTAGTGATGCCACAAACGATGGATAAGGCTCTACCGCCGAAGCGCTCTCAGATGACATCGTATACGAGGAAAGCACTTTGTCCGCATTTGAATCAGTGTGCAAGATAGTGAAAAGCGTTATGTCGATAGTGAAGAAACGGACAACCCCTGAAATGGCAAAACGGCTGTACGGTACGGTTCCATGGGCGCCGACGCTTTACAACTTGGTGAAGACGCACAAAATTTCGACAACAACAATCACACTATCCCCCCCCCCCCCCANTGAATGAAATTAAGACGAGACCGATTATCGCATCCTGTGGTGGACCAGCAGACGGATTGAGCTAGCTCTTAGTCCGTTTGCTCTCGCCACTTTTGCGGGAGCGCACATTGTTAATTTGAAGAATCCATTTTGTCGCTTCAGCAATGTCCAGTACCGAAAAAAGCCTTCTACGCGAGCTTCGATGTAGTATCCTCATACATGTTGTGAATAACGCAGGAGCAGTGCAAGCAGTGTTATCTCTCATCGAGGTTAATGAAGACCATATCACGATGATGGGATTTTCCGCTAGTGAAGTTAAGGATCTCATCGAAGCGGCAATGGAGATGGATTTCTACCATTCCTCAATGCAAAGGTACGGATTAGTGAATGTTGCAAAGAACACCTGTGATATCGAAAAAGTACCTCCTCGAACATCTTGTTCCATTCCAGAAGCGCTCATCCTGTTTATATGAAGGCAAACGTCGTGCGGAATCTTCCGAAAACGAAGAGGAAGCTTGGAATACGAAGGGATTCAGTTGTTGATGTTAAAGTAGAAAGTATTCTTAATAGTAATGGATACTTCAAAGGCAACACAAGGACCTAAGTCCCTTACAGAGCTACGGACGGTGTGAGCCTCATTCTGCCTTTTGTTAATGACAAAATGGCACGTGAGATGAACCACGTCGTGAAGAACTCCCACCTTCCTATTCGACTTGTTTTCCGACCTCCCCCTACACTGAAGGATCTCCTGAAATCTCCAAT